CTTGATGGCCTCCCTAGTTCTGCAGCTACAATAACCATTCTCTCCTGCCCTGCCATGCTGTGCTAGTCTCTAGTTCTGCAGCTGCAACACCGATCTTCTGCCTTCATAAGCTGGGCCCTCTAATTCTGCAGTTACCAATCTTCGGTCTTAGCTGCTGGACTGCATGGAGCTTATACTGTAGGCTGCACTTCCTCCACCCCCCACCCCCTCCCCGCAGAGTGCCAGTATAATACCCAGCATTACATATTGTACAGAGTAACAACAGTGAACATATTCAAAAATGATTTATACAGAGTATCCCAATCCATCCATCACATTGAAGTCAGAGATTTGGGTGCCGGTTTCCCAGGGAGATCCGCCGCATGAACTGCCAGTGCATCCGGATGAAAGTCACACACACCAATACATTGCACAGCATGTTGACCAGGAAGAGGAAGGCATATATGTAGGAGTAGACGGCATAGGTGGACATGTTGGTCCCCCAGTCGAAGAAGCACCAGGTCCAGGAGTACTGGCAGAAATGTATATATAATTTATAATATAATGTATTTTTTTCTCAAACCTAACTGGTTTGGAGGGCAGCATTTTTTGGCGCCCCCCCCTGGAAAGTGCCGCCTTAGGCAAATGCCTAGTTTGCCTTGCAGTAGATACACCCCTGATTATATATACTTCAATATAATAAAAACACCCACAATGCTCCTGGGAGCCAGATCCCCATGTGGCCCCACCCCCGGCCAGGATTGTAACATCCCGTCCGCCGCTAACTCTTCCCCGCCCAATCCTGAACCAATATGAAATGTTTGGGTCCCAGGCCACCGGAGGATTCCATAATAATCCTCCAAATCATTTTTCACACAAAGGAAACATTATCCAGTGCGGAACCCGAGTTTGTTTGTCACGTAATTGCGGAGGATTGCAGCTGCCGGCGGGCACTCATGTTACTGTTGCAGTAATGAAGAAGCGGAATTCAATTAGAGCGGATCATTTATTGATGCGTCTCCCCCGTCGAGACGTAAGGCGTGCGAGAGACGGAACATCTCCTCGGCGTGTCTCACTCAGCGTGGAGTACACAGGCACAACAGAGGACGGGGTGAGCACTGCTGGGGCGGGAGGGGGGCACATCTGCTACCCGCCGACCGTCAGCAGGGATAGCGCTGGTTTAACTGTTTGGAGGGACGCACATTGTTACTGAGACATCCAGAGGAAGTATTGTAA